GAGAGAGAGAGAGAGAGAGAGAGAGAGAGAGAAAGGGAGAGGGAGTAATTGATTGCCTTTCAGTCAGCAATAACTTGTGACTGGTGGTCAATCGCTGCTGCTTTTGGTGCATCGCCTGCCACCGGATGGGTTCGGCTCGCGCCTCGCCTTGCGTCTCCCCGGAAAAGTGTCTCGGAGACGCGGTGGGACTGGAAGTCAGAAGTGTCCCTACAGCCTGTAGCTCGGCGGCCGAAATGCGGCCGGAGAAGCACCTGTGATCCGAGCTGCGGATCATCTTCACGGCCTCCGTCACCTCTCCGTTCCCCGCCTCCAGTACAGCACTGTCTGCCTTTTTTTTTTTAGAATCGCTCTTCTCCGAACTACACTGCGGTCAGGTGTGACCCCCACCACCACCGCGTGAGCCCGCCATGACCTCCAGGGACGACTCCAAGTGTTCAGCGGTATTGGAGGAGCCGAGGCGCAGTCCGCTGGACCAGCTGCCGCCGCCGGCCAACTCCAACAAGCCGCTGACCCCTTTCGGCATCGAGGACATCCTCAACAAGCCGTCGGTGAGAAAGAGCTACTTCTTGAGCGGCGCGGCGCACCATGTCTCCCCCGGAGAGAAGCTGCCCTCGGCGGGCCACGGCCTGTCCGGCCGTGCGCTGCTCAGTCAGACCTCCCCGCTCTGCGCGCTGGAGGAGCTGGCCAGCAAAACCTTCAAGGGCCTTGAGGTCAGCGTGCTGCAGGCCGCCGAGGGTAAAACACTTGTTTTTATTAAATGGGAATTATGTGCACGCTCACCATTTGTATTAGTAGGCCTATTGTAGTAGCAGTGTTTCCTTTTCTGAAAAATGTTAATGAATAAATAAAGTTGAAGACTGCGTTGAGTAAAAGAAACATGGGTGCGTAATTTTGTATTTATTTATAGTTTAGTTTATAGTTTATTAGTATAATTATTATTATTACTCGTGATTCCAGAATAATTGCGTAATATGTGTCAGTAAAAGTGGACAATTCCGTTTATATTCGATTGATTATTAATTTAGTGTAGCGAGATGTATAATAGTATTACATTAAGGCATTCATAAAAATAAGTAGTTCAATTGTAATATAGCTCAAAACATGATGCTGTTTTCATCATACAAACGAAAATAACTGGATAATAAAAAGATGAATTTATTATCAAATTCACATTCAATATAAATATAGGCCTAAGCATCCTATACTATTAAAAATAGCGTTTTATTTATTATAAAAATCAACTGTCATGCAGGAAAATATGAGCAATTTGATCTGATAATTGATCATACTGTCTCGGCCAAAAAAATAAATAAATAAAATAATGAAAAGTAATTCAGTTATTCCACTTCAGCAGTTTTACTTGAGGAGCTCTGAAGTAATTGGTGAACCGTAGTATTTTTCATTTTTTTGGACCCAGTAGGATTGCTCAAGGCTTGCATTTTGTTGTTACCTTGATGACCTAATTTGTCTCTTTCTCCTAGGCCGGGACGGCCTGACGGTCTTCGGCCAGAGGAACAACCCGAAGAAGCGGCGGAAGTCCCGCACGGCGTTCACCAACCACCAGATCTACGAGCTGGAGAAGCGCTTCCTGTACCAGAAGTACCTGAGCCCGGCAGACCGGGACCAGATCGCCCAGCAGCTCGGTCTGACCAACGCACAGGTCATCACCTGGTTTCAGAACCGGCGGGCTAAGCTCAAGCGGGACCTGGAGGAGATGAAGGCGGACGTGGAGTCCGCCAAGGTCACGGGCACCGTGGCACTCGAGAAGCTCTCCAAGCTGGCCGAGCTGGAGAGGTGCGCGGCCGGCGTTATGGCCAGGGAGACCGTCTCCGAGCCCGGCCCGGTCTCCTCGCGGGCCCGGCACAACAACGCCGACGGCCTCGACTACAGCAGAGCGCGCATGTCGCCTCCCTCACCCGCATCGTCGTGGTGCACAGACCGGCTGAGCAGCAAGTGTTGCTCGGAGGATGAAGATGAGGAGATTGACGTGGATGACTAAATAACAAGTGCGTTGCCGTGTGAAGTGTCAAATAACGCAATGTTCGCGGACAGAAAACTCTTTCTTCACGAGGATTTCATCATTTACGCTTTTACGTGGTTTCCCACGCAGCAAACCTACAACAGTCTCGGTGCTTTTGAACTGAGAGAAGCCATAGGCCCTGCTTTCTGTATAAGAACAGGGCTCGTGCGCTCAAGACGACGCGCGACAGAGACGTTCAGAAAGGAATGAGGCGAGGAAGCACACACGCAGGTGCTCACTCTGCTCACTGCGATACGCCACCGCATGTTTTCTTTGAACATGATGTTGAAAAAAAGGCTTAAAAGGCTTCTTCTGGGAAAAAAAAATTGATAAGCTCTTTTTTCAAATATTCATCGTTCTGAAATGATAATCATACGCAGAACATGTGCGAATATCTTGTAATAAATCGCGATTTTAATATATTTATAATGCTTTGTACAACCCTTTAAGTGCCTTTATGATATATAGAACGCATATAACTGTACAACTTGTAATGTAAACTATACTAACGATGTAAAATAATAATAAACCTTTCCAATATCGAGCCCTTTCGCACATTTCTATTTATTATATTCCATGGAATGAATTTATATCATATGGAATGATGGAATAATTTTCATATTTTCATTTAAAAGTCATTTTGGGAGGATTGTGGTAACTTGCTTTCAGACCTCCTCCGTTATTTTACTTTTTTTTCTCTGTCAGAAACAATCTGGAGCGAAGAGGCCCAGAAGCGTGTGTGTGTGTGGGTTCCCCTTGGGAGCCGCTCTCCAGCAGCGCGCAATATGGAGACAAGCGTTTCTCCCTGCGCTCACCGCCCCGGCGGGTCTCGGAGCACAAAAGAGCGGCCATGAGGAGAGTGTTTTTTAGAGGCCATATGGTTTTAAGGATTCTCCTCTCAATTACGAGTCACCGTGATGGATTGACTTAACCCGTTCTTTTCAACGACGTGGCCTTTCCCTTTTGTGTCGCACATAAAAGCAGACACCACGCCGGTCTCTCTGGGGCCCGCGTGCGTTAATATGCGGTTATGAATGTGAATGCGGGGCTGAGTGGGCCCGGTCAGAGCCCTGTGTGGGTGCAGGAGGGCTTGAAGATGACATGAATACATATACGAATAAAAGAATAAAACAATACCACAAAACACGTTTTTATCAGTGACTTAATAAAGTGATGCAATAGCTCGAGGACTGCTGCAAAATAATTTTCTAATTTTCGTAGACTTTACTTAATTGTTTAGGGAATCCCATTTGAATATTTAGTTATTTATAAAGTAAATAATGTAAATTAAAATATTTGTATAAAATGGTCCCTATTTTGACGAGAAAAAAAAATGTTAGGCCCACTTCTTTGTTTTTCACAGCTTACAATTGCATCTTTTAGTCTTCATCATTGCTCAGATCTGAGCAAAAATCTCTTCTTCCACCGGACCCATTGCAAAAACCTCTCAAGCACATATTCACATAAGTGGTCAACTTGTGTTTTTAAAATACATTCTTAGTTGAGGAACTGTATGAAATTAAATGTGTGACTCATAAATTCATAGTTCATGAATAAAAAAATAAAAATATCTGTCCTCCCGTATAAAGGCTCCTCCATTAGTATGCATACAAATATATATTCGATTTCCTTATATGTCCAGCACATGGACATTCTGTGAGTGCTTCAGTCTTTCATTATAAGCATGGAGCACTGCTGGAAAACGTGTTTCTTTAAGGGGGAGATACACGCTGAGAGAGAGAGAGAGAGAGAGAGAGAGAGAGAGAGAGAGAGAGAGAGAGAGAGCGAGAGAGAGAGAATCATTTATTCAATCGGCCGGAAAATTGAAGTTTGATGCATGGTCCCCTGCTTAAACAACTGGACCTGACATCCC